GGAAGGCAGAAAATAAGTTCTGACAGTAAGGAGGAAGGAAAGGTTTACCGTCTTTGCCTGAATCTAATAACTCTTTCATAGAAGGGATAACTTCTTCGTATTGTTTGCCAGAAAAAGAAAGACCTCATATTACATACAAGTCACGAAGAGAAATTGACAATTCGCCTATTGAACAATGGAGGGTGCTGGTAGAAGAGCACCAAGATTCAAGGAAAGCTTTAAGAACAGGCCCAAGGCGATCATATATGAATAAAGAAGCAAATATTGCACCATATAGGTTTTTTTTCTTTAAGGAATTTAGCATGGCGACCCATGATGTCCTCTGATCATTCCCAATATCCATCAGTACAGGATAAATTAGGAATCTTGAAGGAATTGCCCCATTTAATTCCTTTAGCACGCATCCTATGACCCAAAAGTGAAAAATGTTTTGGCGCCTTTATTGGCTCGTGAAGTGCAAAGCGTAAAATCAGAATATTTAAAATCGAGCTTATCTCATTATTCTGATTGTAGCCAAGGTTGGAGAGCTCACAGGATGATATGCGGGACCATTCTGGCAAATGATAGTACAGAGAATCAGAGTGAAGCGGTTTAAGTGCAAAACGGCCAACAAGAGAAGTTCTGACATCTAAAGTAGTCCCTTTCTCTATGGTGTCGTTCTCTTGCTTCAAAATAGTGATAGTATGGGATTTGAAACTTTTAAAAAACACCGTGGTTGACTAGCACTCCCTGAAAAAAAAAAAAAAAAAAGTTAGCACTTGAAAATAATAATAATAATAATAAATAAAAAATAAAATAAAAAAAATCATTAAAAGTGTGGATTGGCATGGATGGAAGATTTTAGTTCCGAAGGAATAATGGGTCCTTACGGACTAGATGCGTTCCAAAAGAACAATGGGTCCCAGAGGGACTAAAAGCGTGGAGAAAGAAAAAAAAAAAAAAAAAAAAATTCCAGCAAGCGTGGAGAAAAATAATAATAATAATAATAATTTTTTCCACCAACCCTGGAAAAAAAAAAAAAAAAAAATCTCTTCCAGCAAGCGTGGAGAGGAGAGAAAAAAAAAAATTTAATTTGTTCCAGCAAGCATGGAAGAAGAAAAAAAAAAAAAAAAAAAAATCTTCCAACAAGCATGAAAAAAAAAAAAAAAAAAAACTTCCAGCAAGCGTGGAGGAAAAAAAAAAAAAAAAAAAAAAAAAAAAAGATGAAAAAAATAGACAGTCATACCAATTATTTGTGTTCGAGCAGAGGCCGCAATCCAACACAATCTTAGAAATTGTGATCTGACAAGCCTTCAGAAATTATTGGAATTAATGTTAAACTCTACAATACTGAGGGTATATATAGGCAACAAAATACCTCCAAGTTGTATTGGGATTTGGATAATTCTGTTCAAATAGGAAAGTAAAATTCCAATCCAAAGTTGGATAGGAAAGTAAAAGAGGAAAAGTGAAAAAAAATAAATAAATAAAAAATAAAAAATAAACAGAAAAAGGAAAGTTGAATACTTCAAGTCCTACTTGAAAAAGGATATAAGTCCTATTAATCTTGGGACTCGAAGTGGAGGTAATTTGTAGACACTAAAATTTAGTGGACTTTGGTTTTAACAAATGGACCCATTAAATATGGGCCTGGTCCACTGAAATATGTTTAATTAATATGTTTAATAACTTAATATGTTTAATTAAGTTATTTAATTGGTCTTGGCTTGGTCCACTTAAATTATTTAATTAGCCCAGCTCAGATGATTAAATAAAAAGATAATTATTCCTAATAAAATATATTTGGAATAATTAATTTTAAGGAGAATTATCATAATATAACCGGCCCGGCTCAGTTATGATTTTTTTTCCTTATCCTGAGATGACACGTGTCATCATCTTATTCATCCAAGAAGCCTATAAATAAAGGCCTGGAGGAAGAAGAAAGGTGTACACAAATTCAGAATCCAGAAATCCAGAGATTCAGAATTTAGAAGTTCAGAGACTCAGAAATCCAGAAACTCAGAAGTCAGAGATACAAATTCAGAATCCAAACCCAAAAGCGAAGAACATCAAGCACATCCAACAATGTGTCGTTCTTCATCAAATCCCACGGTAATCAACAACAAGCACATCCAACAACGTGTCGTTCTTCATCAAATTCCACGATGATTCAAGAACAAGCTCGTGCAGCCCTTGAATCCAACCAACAACAAAAAGGAGATCGAATCAAAGGACCATTCTTTTTTGTAAAAAATATCACAAAGGATTGTACTCCAAATATTTCTGATTTAATAAATTATTATTTTGCCCATATTTTGTCTTTATTTGCAGAGAACAAAATTTGTGCGTACAGGGTGTTTAAAAGGTCAAATTTTGTAAATGGATTGAAATTAGGCCGCAGGCCATTGTAGCGAGTTTAAAACATCATTTTACACTTCCGGACATGCTTACATTTCATAAAACTCTTGAGTTACAACTTTTAAACCATTTATGGAAAGATCTATGGATTTTACGTAAAAACTCATGCATGAGAGTAAGTTTCAAGTTTCTCCTTATTTTAACATATTGTTTTTACTTGAATAAAGTTAGAAAACGTTTTCAAACTCATCTTGGATCAATTGGAATGCATACATGCATCAAGGTTGGACCGAGGTTAGCTTTTCATTTTCTGCAGCAGCTTTTAAATTGCAGCAGCAGAGGCGTCGGTCGATTGATGAAGTCCATTAACCTGCTGCCACATGCTCGAGGAGCATTCCAGTAGCCATTTTAGGATTTTCATCGTTTCGGTCGGCTGATGATTGGAGTTCAGCCGACCGATGATGGAGTTTCGGCCAGCTGATAAGGGCATTTCGGTTGACCGATTCTCCCTGGGACAAAATTCCTTATCTTTTCCTTGGACAGTCTTGTTGCATCGACTTCATAAGATCATAACTCTTTCATTCCTAATCCGATTTGAGTCGTTCTTGAGTCTAAATTTAAGAGCTTGAAGTTGGCTTTCCAATGGCACCAACCACACCTCAAAACTCTACTTATAGTGAGAATTATTTCAATTTTAGTGAGATAGTTTCTTGGTATCTCTTAAGTGGAGAACGCCATTTTATTTTATTTTATATTTTTTCCGTCCGGACTCTGAATCAGTCGATTTTTGAGCCCAACTTCATTCATTTTTTGTTGTCTTTCCAATGGTATGCAAGGTAGCATCCATTTCAGTTTGAAATGACCATTTTACAGTTGGTTCATTTCTTCCCGGGTTTGACATTCTTGCCTCATTTGCTTGGCTCATTAAAGTTTCAATGACGTACATCTCTAGAGGTCGCTTTCCATATTTTGCTTCTGCATTTCGGATCCGTTATCGGATCATCTGTTGGTTATCATTGACGCACCAAGTTTATAAAACTTGGGCCATCATATTATCTATTTGTCTACAAGAATTAAAAGTTCAAAACCCATATCGATATATCATTTCAGATTGTTCAAAAAATAAAAACCCATATCTTTCAGTTTCAATCACCTGCTGTTCCAGTTCGGGTTCGCCGTTCGCAAGTTTCAACCATTATCTCTCTCAATTCTCAAGCTTGCCTCACTCGCTCTGCTACTGCTAACTTGTATGTATGAGTTTTGTTTTAATTTTTTTTTCCTAAATCAATTAATCAAGGTCTATAAGACTATAATTCTTGTTTTGCAAACTAAATCCTATTCGGTGAATTTTTTTTTGACTTTTTAAAAATAATTTTGAGATAATCACCGTAATCTACATTTTATTTCTTAGAAGGAAGAAGGGTGGCCAGATATTTGTGATGATGAACTCGGCCTCGGTTGTAGAGATTCTATATTTGTAAAAATCGATGGTGGTGGTGGGTTCAGATAACAGAATGAGATGAAAAGGGGAGAGACGAAAGGGCAACGAAACACGTACAGTCTCAAATACAGTAATAGCAACTGTTATATGTTGTGTTATATTTGACACAAAATTTGACAAAATTATATTTTGATAGCTCATTTGATAACCCATTAGATACCCCATTTTAAACCCACATGCTATATTTTAAAATTGACAGCCCATTTAGCAACCTATTAAAGTTGTTCTTAGAAACAAAGACAATCCCTAAAATGGTATAAAAAATAAACAACTAGTTTTTTCTCATGGATACAGTTAACTTTTTTAAGCCAAGATGTGTCCATTGATAGCTAAGAGCTCACAATAAGCTAGTGGTTTTTTTTTTTTTTTTTTTTTTTTATTAAGAAAATTAACCAAATATTTAATCATCTAGAGTGAACATATAAATACACATTTAAATAGAAAAGAGAGAAATAAAAATAAATTGCATAGAATAAATAGACAATAGGGGTGCACCACATGTTTTCACTTATTGATTTTAGGAGTTACTAAGATATTAAATTCAAAAACTAATCATTACCCTCCATGAAGACATGGAATTCCTTTGGCAAAGTAAATAATAATTCTTCATCGCATAAAACCTTGAAAGGCCAAATCAGAAAAGATCTAATTGAAGAGAGAGAAAGTCTCATTGAAGAGTGAAAATCTATTTCAAAGCTTGGATGTATCTTTGTTTGATTAGGCCAAAAAGCCTTAATAAGAAAGTAAATTCAAAAATTAATCATCACCCTCTATGAAGACATGAAATTCTTTTGGCAAAGTAAATAATAGTTCGTCACCGCATAAAACCTTCAAAAGCCAAAGCCAAGGCATTGCCCAAAGCTCGAACAATAAGAACAACTATTGCATATCCAACTTGAATGTATCTTTGATTAACTAGGCCAAAAAGCCTATATTAATCTGGAAAACCTTGTAGTCTGGCATTTCCAAGAACTGTGAGGACTCAGCTTTGTTGAGTCTGAAAAATTATCTAGTTGTGCAGATCAGCTCTTGTAACAACTGTTGGCACTGTCTCGTCCCACCATTACTGCCCAAATTTTTTTTTAATGAAATCTCTCTCTCAAATCTCATTATATAATCAAGGACTAAAGGCTTTCCGGTTGGTAAAATTGCCCTGTGTGAACAGTAATTATATAAGTGAAATTATATAATCGATAAACATAAAAATATTAACATGTTTTTCTTCAAAATCTATTTATATAAACAATAAATTGTAAACATAAATAGTTACCAAACGGGGCCTTCTGTTTATATAAACAATAAATAGTTACCAAACAGGGCGTTTGTAAATGGTATATTTTGCTGCTACAAAGTTTTACTTGGGTTAGTTGGTGGTAGTATATGACTTTTTAAAAAAATTTAGTCCCTTGTCTAATACCAATTCAAACATAAAACATCTTATGAACTGATTTTGATAAAATGTGCATAAAAAGTTTTGAGGCTTTTGTTTACTTATATGAAATATGAAATGCTTTTACACTCGCATACATTTAGATTTTCAATGAACTATTATAGTGAAAAAACAAAATTAAAATGTAATACAACTTTGAGGCTGTTTTTTATTTGTATGTGTTTGGAAAAGTCAGTGTAAAAATAGGTTAACCACTTTACCAAACAGCCTTAAAAAATAAAAAATAAAAATAAAAATACTATTTAAGGGCAAAATAATTATTTCAATAATAGAAGAGCTTTAAAAAATATTTTGCCAAACATATAGAAAAACTCCTTTGTCATTAAAAACTCCTCTTCTCTTTTTCTTCCCCGTAAAGCAAAAACAAAAGTTATGTCAAAAGCAAAACATAATATTACTTTTTAATTTCTTAAACTAAATCATGTCTTTATTATTATTATTATTATTATTGTTCACCGTGTCCATATCCTTTGTCCATTTTCGTGTTTAGAGTCAATATTTCACAGATATCCAAAAGTAGAGTAAATTGAAAAAATTTCTTATAATATTAAACTTTTGCAACCCACCCTATAAAACAATCAAAAAGTTGCAGCCAATCCCTTTCCGTCCTGTCTTTATTAAGAGCTATATAAATTTATCAAACGAACCTCAACTTTGTTTTCTAAAAAATTAAACTTAAAATATAAAAATAAGCACAAAACAACCTACTATTTTCCGACTCTACTCATGCCAAATAGCTTCTTTCTTTGCAAGAAGTAAACCTATATTTAAAAGACAAAATTTAAACATGTTAGGGAATTCTTTAAATTTTTTGAAACTAAAAGAAACAAGAAAAAAAGAAGAAGAGTATTTGCATTCACAACTTATCTTAAGATCAAATCAGAACATTATCATAATGACTAATTGTTAAAGAAAGTATGCAAAACCTGAATAAAATGATATATCAACAAAGATTTAAAAGTAAGAAGAAAAATAAGAGGAGTTAGCTACCCGATGATTGTGGAGGCAAGTCTAACCCTTGAAATTGCCACAATTATATCCCTTGAAATTGCCACAATTATAACCCTATTGACCACCAAAGTGAATGGATTTCACTCAACTTCTTCTTCTTCTCTCTATATTTAAATTGTTGGTTCATTGGCTAAAGACCTAACTTTATATTTAGGTCAAAAAGTTCTATGTTATTGACTGGTCATTTTTTTTTAATTTCAAGTGATTGACCAATCAATCTTTATACAAGTGTAATTGTAGATAACTCGAACCTAATGACCATCAAGAATCAAAGATTTCAGCCATATCATGTGAAATATGATTTATCAAAGTGCTTTAAATGAGTAGTACTGGATTGGCTTGTTCGAAATTGGCTCGATCATATGGTAACAGTGTTTGTAAGGCTCAGCAGTTTTTTTAGCTCAATTTATGCCTCCGCAAACGAGCTGAACCCAAATTCTAGTAAACTCATCATCTTGAACACAAATTTTAGGAAACAAATCAAAAGAAACGACTTGGTTTATAGTAGATCTGTACCCAAAAAATAATAATAAAAACCCTAATTTTAGTAAACTCATCATCTTGAAGACAAATTTTAGGAAACAAATCAAAAGAAACGACTTGGTAGATCTGTACCCAAAAAATAATAATAAAAACCCTAATTTTAATAAACTCATCATCCTGAACACAAATTTTAGGAAACAAATCAAAAGAAACGACTTGGTTTATGGTAGATCTGCACCCAAAAAATAATAATAAAAACGAAAATTAAACTCATCATCTTGAACACAAATGTTAGGAAACAAATCAAAAGAAACGACTTGGTTTATAGTAGATCTGTACCAAAAGAAACCCGTTCAACGAATGTGATGGGAGAAGAGAGTGAGCGGTGAGAAATTGTAGATATGACAGTGTTTCCAATCTACAGCCGGTGTGAGTGAAACTTGTGAAAGAGAAGAGAGTGAGACTGTGAGAGCAACACATTCAAAAAAAAAGCAGAAAAGAAAGAGAAAGTGTGAGAGGAGGAGATATTACCTTGCAAATCAGATCCGGCGGTTTCAACGGCGTCAAGATCAATGACATTGCCGGCGTCAACAGTGAGAAGGAGTGAGAAAGATAAGAGGGTGTTCTGTCACAGAGAGTCTTGTGAGATGATGCACATCATGCAACTAGGTTTTGGTACGGGTGGGATATTTTGTAGCCGTCGGATTGGATCTAATCGGTGGTTGTGGGTACATAGGTTGTGATCTAAGTGTTGTGAACTGGAACAAAAAATAAAAATAATAAAAAATAAAAATAAAAAATAATAATAATTTAAAGCGATGACCCTCCAAAAAATAAATTTTTCTTTTTCTTTTTTTCAAATACCAACATAATCTTTATTAAAATAAATAAATAGATATTGTGATTACAAATAAAGTATTTCAGCTCTAAAAATTATTAGAATTACTATAAAATGAGCTAATAATGGTTGTGTAAAAACAAAAACAATTCTTGTACATAAATTTATAATAATTTTTGAAGTAAGTAGAGAACAAAGGTAAAATACCATTTGACCCACTAGCTCATCCGAAAAATCAAAATATGATTTGACCCTTGTTATAAAATGAAGGGTAAAGTGCAATAAATCTTCCCAATAGTAACACAAAACCTCCCTGAACTAAGTAATGCCTCCTAAACTATTTAAAAAGTGTAATTTAAGAACAAAGTCAACAGTCACAGACACCAGAGGTACTAAGTAATGCCTCCTAAACTATTTAAAAAGTGTAATTTAAGAACAAAGTCAACAGTCACAGACACCAGAGGTTACCGAAAATATTAGATTACCAAAGTGCCCTCGAGTAAAACCACGTCGTTTCACTATTTTAATAACTGTTGTTGATGATGTGTCCATTGCAATCAGAACAGCCAATAGCATTGTGACACAACATCACCATATCACAATAACCAACCAACATTACTTGCCAAACACCACCTTATACTAAACGAAATACCACCTGTACATAAGCTAGCCAAACACCACCTATACAGAGCGCTATTTCTCTCTCTACAATCTCCCTTATGCTCTCGTTCTCTGGCAGTCACGACATCACCGATCAATTGCAACCTCCGACATCGCCAACCAGCCCACGACCATCATCGGTGACAACCACAAACGACTGCTGATATTTTGATTTGGACCTGATTTGGCAAATAAAATAAAATAAATCGTGAAATCAACCTCAATTAAATCATTGATGGAGACGGAGTGAAGCTCTGAATTTTGTTCTTATCGTCGTTGTTGTTCTCTCCCGGCAGCCATGGCTACTGTTGCTCTATGAATCTTTAGATTCTAAAGCCACCATGGTTGAGTTGTCCACTATTGTTGGGTTTGAATATTTGGGTAAAAAAAGTTTTTTTTTGGAGAATTGAAGGTGATGATGGATTGGTGTGGTATGGTGATTATTTTTCTTTTTACGTGGGTGATGAGTTTGTAGATTTGTTGGTTTGGAACACTCCATCAGCCAGAGTCCATGATTTGATTGTATTCAGTTGCAATTTGTTTTCCTCTAAAATTCAAAATCTTTTTTTTTCATCGTGATTAATGATTCAACCATTTTCAATCTTCTAAGAAATAGCAAAATAAGGATTGAAGGAAGTTATATTATGTGTTTGTATATATATTCGTGTCTTCCAGTGAGATGCTTTGTTGGTGAGCAAAAAATATTGAGGATTTTTCACTTTATGTATCTTTCTCTCCATATATAAACATATATATGCATCATTTGTTTGCTCAATTTCTCCTTAGTTTTAGAGTTTTTTTTTTAATTTCATACTACAACGGCAATAAGGGTAATCTTGCCATTTTGAAATTACAGCAAGATCACGTGCCAAATTTTTAAGCAAAACCTAACGGAACGGTGTCACCTGGTTTTTTTGCAAAAATTGGAATAGTTTAGGAGGTTTTTTTAAAAAATTGAAGTTCAGGGGTTCTTTGGGAGAGAGAGTAAAGTTCGCCCTTCTCAATCCTTGAGTCTTCCATCAATCTCCAATCTCAGTAAAACCCAAATCCAATTCCTTCATCATCTCTTCCTTCACCACCTTCGTCGTCTTCTCCATCTTTCTGATTTCAGTCCCGACTTTGACCTCACCTTCATCCTCTCCAACTCCACCGCACTTGCCAGCACTCTCTCCGGCCAGTACTTCGACATCTTCTCCAACGCCACCGTCCCCTGCGTCGCTCCTTGCAGTCGAATTTGACACCAGTCGAAACCAAAATTAAAAGACCTAGATGACAATCACATTAGAATCAACTTGAATAACATCAAATTAGAGGTTACAATAGAGCCTTCATTGGCTCGGAAAAGGATTTGACCCACGATATCGACGGTGGAGAAGGCGAGAAGCCAAAGAAGATGCGATCACAGAGTCGTCGTTTGTTGGGGAAGAGGATTCAAGTATGTCGTCGACGGGGTGTGTTTGGGTCAGTTTTTTTTTTTTTTTTTTTAATTGATCAGAAAGGTAGTAGAACCAATCCCAATCAGCTCTGCTTCAAATCAATTCCCTGTAAAGGGAAATTAAGAGATGAAGAGAGCATTTGTGCTCGCCAGAGTGCTGTAGAAGAATCTGGCGCCAACAAGGTGCGGCCACGACAGTCGCTGGGTTCTTATCACCACCATCATTCGTTGTGAGGTTAAGGAGGCGTCGTCCCCGCCGTTGGTTATATACATAACAACGAGCTTCGCCGAACTGAACTGAGCTTCAACGGACTTGGGGATCGTCGCGCTTCTGGGTTTGCCGAGCTGTGAAGTCGCTACTACTCTAGGCTTCTTCCTTTTGTTACTGCCTCGTCGCCACAACACCACCATCACTTCCACGAATTTGCCCCCCTCTGGCCTTACTGCTTTGACTGATAGCTATATATATGTATGTATTTATATATATGTGTGTATATATATATATGCTCTCTCTGTGACACGATCGATGTGTTATCAATGGCTTGGTTAACGGCTGGTATTGGTTTGTTGGTATTGGTTTAACAAATTGGGATTCATTCTTGCATCAAGTTTGAGGCTTATGTCGCATACGGTATGTTATTCCTTCAGGGGCTGCTCAATCTAATTTGGTCCTAATGTGAAAAATAAAAAATGACATTTTCAACAATATAAATAAAATTAGTCACAACTCAAAAATAAAATATACAAATATATTTATACACAAATTTATAATAACAAAAGTTAATAAAATTATTTGAAGGAAAAGAATCATTGAACATAATTTAGAAAATTCAAATCCAATACTTCTACAAATTTTTCAATAAAATAAAAATGTGTCTATAACAACAGTAAATTTGTAATGAGAGTGGGAGAAGAATACTTGTTGAAAAGAAGAAGATAAAACATAAAATATATATATATATATGGAAAGTTTTCACCATTTTTCCAAACAATAATGTTAAATAGATATTTAATATTTTATTATTGGTGTAACTTACCCAAAAATATTTTTAGTGCTGGTGTAAAAAAAAATGTGAATGAGAGAGAGAAAAAGAAAGATTTTTGGACCTAAAATTAAATTTCTATATTGGTTAGGATTTATTGTAAAACGTGAATGAGAGTAGGAAAAAAGGAGGGAAAAAAAGTCATATAAGGATGTAAATCTTTGGGAGCCAATATTAAACTTATGCATCAATCAGAGTTCAACGAAACGAGGGAGGAGAGATAAAAGAGAGAAAAAAAATAAATAAATAAGAAGAAGTTATTTTATGATATAAATATATAAAGCTTAATATAAAATCGGAATGAATGAGGAGAGAGAGAAAAGATAAAAAAGAAGTTATTTTAAGATATAAATATTTGAGACCTAATATAAAATCGAAGCGAGTGGGGAGAGACAAAAAAGATATTTTAGGATATAAATCTTTGAGGCCTAATATAATTTTTTTTTATATTTATTAGAGTTAAATAATATTAGGAAATAATTATAATGTAATGACCCGGTTATTTTCCTTCCTTTCTTTTTTTTCATCTTTTCCCTATTTCGTCTTTAGTCGTTTTTCCATTTTTCCTTGCATAACCTCACTTTTTGTGCTCGGATTTGATTTCGGCTTGGCATACATCCATGATATTTCATTTCCATGATATCTACATTTTTACTTTTGCAGAAAAACATATTAAATGTTTACTTTACAAGTGAATGAAAGTACGACTTTTTGGTAATTAACCTACACTTGAGGGGTTTTAGTGTAATTATGCAAAGTAATTATTTTTCGTCTTAGGGACCATTTTGTAATTTAATTTGAAAGATATTTTCAAAAAGGATCTTTTTGCAATTTACGAAAAATGTGACAAGTGTCACATTCCTAAGGTGCCATTTGTTGATTTTATGATGGAATTACTTGTAGGCTTGATCTCTTGACACATGGGGGGTGAAGATTCACCCATTTGTTAGCCTAGGATAGGAGCACTTGTTGGCATAAATGGTTGACAAGTCTAGACTTAGTATTAAGTCTTGGAAGTTTACTTAGGATGGTGACAAGTGTACGCATCATATCATGTCTTGTAATTGCGTGTGTGTGAGAGGTAGTGTAAGAGCACATAGTGAGTGGAGGATTTCTAGCCCTTCCACTCACCATTTTACACTTTATCATTTTCATTTTCATTTGTCTTCAAGAACCCTAACCTAGCCACTATTGGAGAAAAGCTTGGTTAATAACTTTAACTTCATTTTTGGCTTTCTTCCATTCACCCTAGACTTAAAACATTGGAACACAAAAGTTTCTTCTCACTCTCCTCTTCATTAACCCTAAACTTATTTTCCATTTTGAGCTTGGTTGCTTGGATTATAGAGATTCAATTCTCTATTGAGGTAGGGGTGGTTGTATGTTTATCCTCTTTGGGTTTTATATATGTTGGAACTTAATATATATTGATTACATGCCTTTTAAATTCTTGTATTTGCATGTAAATAGAGATTTTATACGCTTGACTTATGAATTGTGGATTAAAGCATGTATGTGACTATTAAATTGTATAGGTAGGCTATTGTCTAATAAATTGCCTAATACTTATGATTCCATTGAGGTTTTATTATGGATATCTTGAGCTTACACTTATGATGTTAAGTAATATAGATTTCATTGAAAGCTTAGTATAAAAATCTTGTGTGTGGCACTTATAATTACTTGTAGGTAGATTACTATATTTCATGATTTGCAATTATGGCCTATATTGATAGTAAATTGATATAACATGATGTGTAATATCATTAACTTACCACTTTAGACATGTAACCTTAAGACATGGGTTGTGTGGTTTTTCCCTACTTGTGCTTGGTAGGTAGTTTCATGTATTGAAATTCCAT